GTTTCCACAAACGCCATTAAACCGATAACGACAGTATATATTTTACAGCTGATAGGGATGGAAATAAATGATCACTATATAGTTAATTGAGTGAAGAAGGCGACTATGCATGAGAAAAAGAAAAATACTTATAGTCAACATAAGTTATATGTGAAAGAATAGAAACAGACTAATATTCTATGTTCTAGCCAGGTAAATGGAATTAATTCGATCCTGACTATAGATATACATTTCTAAGAGTCGTGAGTGGAACTTTGAGATTCATTGAATTGAGCAATCATCTCACAATCAACTAGAATCTGAAAGATCAATTCCGGAAATATGCAATATTAATTTAATTTTGGCCAGCCCTTATAGAATTAAATGTATACAGACAATCTACAAAACTCGTGATCAACACGCTGCACGTGATAAAGAAAGAACGGTTTTTGCAAGTTTCAGCGTATAAATATATACAATATATACATTGAAATCAGAACTCTTGTCTGTGAATGGAAGTGTTTCGCTTAGCCATGGCTAATGCTGTATGGGTTATTTTATCATAAACACGATCGGTATACATTTACGCTGTTCAGTATGCTCGTATGTGTTCGTTTTCTGTACACTTTGCTATAAATAGAAATATGATATATGGCAGTGTGTTATAAAAACCACGACCGCATCGAAAAATCGATTACGAATTGTTACATTATGAGGCGTCACGTCAGATCTGATGTTTTAATGCCAAATTGTAAAAAATCTTATTGTTTCAAAATGAGTCTAAATCTGTGATTCCCAAAGTGATCCACATGGACCCCAAGGGTTTATGAGAACTTCCAGAGGATCCACGTCAGCAAAAAAGCGCGATAGTGGATCACAATACACCACGTTAATATCTATTCACTATTTATATAATAGAAAATCATATACAATATTTATAAATATAACTAAAAAGCAAATAAAAATATTACACTTTTTATAAAAATGTGTTAGTTGTAGCATAAGTAGACACTCAATTTTTGGTCGCAATATGGTTGAGCTTATAAAGACCATTTTTGCAACTATTGAAAGCCCTAGGGGTCTCCACGAGACAAAATTTTTGTAAACTATGGTCTAAATCCTAGTAACTAATAGATAGATTGGATTACACAAATAAAAGAAAATAAATATTATACAGATATTTTTTTAATATTGTTTTTAAACAGTAGATCACAATTTTCCCAATAAAAAAAATCAATCAATACTTGCAATGATGGCATATGTGATGCTTATAACATAAGAGTCAAACTGCGCACGATTTTTTTTTCTATGATAGGCAAGGTGATGCAGAAAAGTTTGCAGTATAAAAAAGGCAGTATCTCTCTTTGTTCGCTACTTGGATGATTGTGTATGTGCGTTAATACACGTGCAATTGCTTGTGAAGTAAATGCGCATACTTGAGATTAGAAAAGGGAGCAACGCCCGAGCGCACGCCTTGCAGGTACATGCGTCTAGCGCCATTCTAAAACTTTTCTAATAGAACTTAGTTTAAGTATCTTATTAATATGTATATAAGAATCCATAGAGAGTTAAGTTTCCAATACGTTCCCAACGGGTTTAAAATATTTTCTTAAATTTGTAGTAAATAAATCATACGATTATTGAACGGGTTATAAGAATCTAAGTTTGTTAACGAACGGTTTCTCATAAGATAAAATCTGATGTTTATCCTAAATTTGAAAGAGTTGAGTGTTTGAAGGAAGAAGAAAGGATTCTGTTGTCCGTCTGACCGGATGACTGCCAGTAGGGGGAAGACCATAAGAGAAGTAAGCATTCTTTAAGTAACATCAGCCGCATGGAACGGCACGTAATGCAAAATGCTCAGCAAGCCGGAAAATATATAATCGTTACGTTGATCGTCTAGCCACATATAAACGCCATAACATGACTCTCAACGAAGGTTAGACATTGAAAAGCACGAGAGGGTCCCTTTTGATATGTAATAATACATTATTTTCGACACTTGCTAAAAATAGATCATAATTAGAAACATTATCTCCACTCATAGCAAATTCAACACCTACACCCTTCGATTCATACTACAACGAAGAAACATTCATAAATCAACTCAACACAATAATATTATGCTTTGAACGGAATAAATAAAAAATCAATAATTATAATTATACATGTCTCTATTACATATTATGTAGAGAGTCAACCAAATGCTTGTTGAGTGATAAAGTCGATAAGCTATGTTTTTATTATATATTTCTGATAACAAAATCCGAACATAGTAATCGTGAGCCATGCACGTACTCGCCACATAACAATAATTGTTGAATTATGAATCACAATTGTTCAGGTAAATATTTAATACGAAGTAGAAACTAATGCTATACAATTTATAAAGGAAAGAAAGACGTGTATATTTTGTGAATAATACAAATAGGAAAATAGGTTGAAACAATATTATCATTATTTTAACAAAATACTTTCCTATGACCTTTATGTTTTTGTAAACGTATCGATTAAAAATATGAAAAAACAAAGTCAAATTACAGAATATGTTACTACTAAGCTTATAAAATTTTCCAGCAGTAGCAGTTTTACGTGCATGACAAATGTTACTTTGTGCAAGAGAGCATGCAAAATTGAAAAATAGATAATAATAATCATAATGACAATAAACGCAAGCGCGTGGCGCCATTAGACTATTTCATCCGGCTGATGTAAATCGCTTCAACGATTTCAATGACTGGCTTACTATGTGAATGCATGTGGTGATTTTGAAACCTTATAATTAGTTGATGAACGGATTACACAACATTTATTGTAATAAAACATTAATAGTTGTAAATAATATAATAGTAAGTGCAAGTAATAGTAAGCAATAAATATTGTGCAAATAAATAAGCAATTTCCAGATGTAGTCCCTTTTTATCGTTTAAGGTATGTTTTTCGATCCAAGAAGACCATAGCTCCAGAGCTTTTTTAAATTACATATGCAAAATGACCATTAAAATATGAAGTCTGCTCCATGTGCCCAAAGCATAATTAGATAAACCACTTGCATTTCCCGTTTCGTTTAGGTCTACACACAGCCATCATTCATGTGTATCGTAAAATAGAATATGCGAATGAAACGGGACTTGCAATATTGCACACATTGCTCGATGGTGACGAGGACAGTAGAAAGTCACAATGCATTTAGCAATTATTGGAGTCTACAAATTCCACCGAATATAAATCATAAATTAAAATCAAAATCTCATTAATAGCTTCACAGAAATATTTATTCATATTATGCGTACATTTATAGTGCAAAAATTGTTTCAATTACTTTTTTGCTCATGTTGCCCACACCGATTTCGCAAAACTATCGCCCACAATAAACGGATACGGCATTCTGCTTAATACCGGACGTTTCTAATATAGGTAAAGGAGACTCGTTTCTATCATATGCCCGTAGTTTTCAAACAACGTCATGTCACAAAAATACGTCACAGAGATCGTTGTACGCCAATTTGATCCCACCTAGCAAACCGACAGTGCTCATACATGTAGTAGACTATATAGTGGTATATACACCTATACACTGGTATATAAGTGTTGGTATATATTATTAATATGCGTATATATATATATATATATATATATATATATATATATATATATATATTATACGCCAACACAATCACGTCGGTGGTCCTTTTACTCCATTGACTGGGCACTGTCTAGCTAGCTGGTTTGATGTAATATTGGGCGAGTAGTTGTGGCATATTTTGATCGTGTGAGTTCTTCACGTATACATTCAGAAGTGTCACCACAGAATGTATGTGCATGAATCGAGGAGAGAACTTCAGACAGACAGGACAAAGTAGGTCAATTCGTACACTTTTGTATATACTTGAACAGAAATTGGTAGAAATTTCTCTTTCAAAAGCTCGTGTAAGAAGGTACGAGTCCTTTGGAAGGAAATATGTTACAAAAATTAAAATAATTACAAATTATACATATAAAATGTAAATTAAAGTAATTAATAAGAACGAACAAATTTATAATAATATTTGCAAATACTAAATGTGCATTCACCAAGAGTGCACTCTCTCCGCGTTCTCCGTCAGCTCACGCGCAGACATCAGACAGATGCTCAGAGATTTTCAGGTCAGCAGACACATTCATTCGCAAAAAGATTAGCTCGGAGCGTTAAAAAACAACAGGCAAGTCCCGTGGGACGAAAATACGGGTCACACAAACACTTTCGCGTGCAAATAAACTTTGGAAATATCGTTCATGGAAAAACATTCAAATATAAATATAAATTGGAATTTCAGTACATGGGTGGGCGTAGCATAAAAAATTAACAACACACAAAAGTAAAAACGATTTATTTATTCCTATTTTATAATTCAAAATTATTTTATTCTGCAATCTTCTTTTACAGCCTGTACTGCTGCAAAACAGATTTTATATTTGGTACAGATTTCATTCTAAGAAACGATAAAATAACAAATTTGATTATGTTTTCGGTATAGCCGCTTTGTCGAGCATTAAATAAATTACTAATTGCACTGTTACATTATATGCAGATCTTATCGTTGAATTATCAATGTTGCGTATTCAGACGATCAAATTACCACAAATGAGATAGTAAGCATTTGGGCAAATGCGATGTAGTAAAATTGAAACCCAAGTTTTATATATACATACATTATATAGTTGCACAATTATAAAAACATATATCATAACATAATATAAACATAATCTTTAATGGACGGGTACTTTATAAATGCATCGCCCTGTGTTAGAGATATTTAATGTGACGTCAAATAATTGGACTCATATTGTGTTGGTGCCAATGTTTATAAGCACAATGACTTGCGATGTACACTATTTGTATCAGCAAATACATACTTCGAAATTAAGAAACAATAAACAATGACGCATTGGTATAAACGCGTGAATATTAAACGATGATATAATATAAATTATGAAAAAATATCACATGTTTTAAGAAGTTTAAATTAAAAATGACTGACCTTGCTAAGTTTTTCGCCTTCATGGTGCGGTAAAAGAGTTCTCAACGATTGAAATCCTGCGTTGATACTCTGCATTCGACGCCTCTCGTTGCTGTTGGCGATCTCGCGCCTGATGCGCT